CTCATAACCAATATTGAGACCACAATTCTAGCGACGTTCCAAGTGGAACAATGTCATAAACCTTCGGAATACCGATCTGTCTCACAAGTTTTGAACAATACAGAAGCTATAACGCGGCGCAACGGGCGGATAGAGTCAAAACCGAGAGCTGTTGTGTACAAAAAAGCTGAGTACGAAGATGAGGAGTAAATAGAGGCGGAGGGGTTGGTAGTCATTGATGCGGAACCGGTCCTGCGAGTCGTCAGGACGGGCCGTGACGGCGATGGATTACTCACCGAAACGCTCGGGAACAGCGTTATGGGTTACTTGACTCTAAACATAGCTCGAATGCCGGAGAATAACTTGCACCACAACCTATATCGCCGAGGCTCTTTATAGCAAAATATGTTTCACATCAAGTATAAACCTACTTTATTAGCTAATAAGTTTATAAGTATGTTATAAATTCTAAAAAGATCTTAAATGTTTAATGATGATAACCGACTATGTAGCATTGATTAGGCAGGTGTTCACACCAATTACTCTGTTGAACTTTAAAGTATCTTAACTGAAGTCATACTAGACTAGGTACATTAATTAAGTCACCATAGGTACAAAACAGAAATACGCAGACAAAGAGACAGCGTATGTATTAAAGATCAGACGAAACAAAAACAAAACAAACGATACAAGTGTCCACGAACGGGTGCATTTACCCTTCGAATTCACAGATGCAAAACATCGCACGTCTCGACTCGCGACACTACAAATCAAAACAACAATGGTGCCGACAGAAGCAGCGATCGACATCGACAGATCATCGACAATCGAAATCGATAGTCGACACGGGTATCGACAACCGGACATGACGTCACGGCGGCGTAAACGAGAGAATTTTAAACAACCTTTTTGGCATCTTGAAACACATGTCAATACAAACAATCGAGTTCTTTTTGTCCCTATTTACACACAAATAAGGTTTAAAATGTATGATTCTTATAAGGCAAATGTGCAAATGGCATAGCCTCATTTCAAATTCATGTCATATTGGTGGTGTTGTTAAAAGGTCGTAAATACTATTTTAAGTTAATTTTAAACAATAGCGTCCATAGCAAAGGATGTTCTGCTTCCTCTACGATAGAAGTATCCCTTTAAGCAAGATTAAACGTAAAGTACCATATAATCACAAACGACAAATGTGAAGCAGTAATCTCTTTGTAAGTAGTTAGATTTCTGAATTTCATAACAATACAATTTATATTTTTTACTGACGTGTCCTGCACCTTCTAAATTGGACGTATATACCCTAAAAACAAACCTTGAAGTTAGGACCTTTACTTTTTATTTTTGAAAGGTAAAGCTAGGGCTACAACTCGTAAAAAAAACAAGTCCGAACATAACCAGTTAATACTGATTACCGTACTTTGTAAACCATCATAAAGGGAACGTAATAAGTACAGACAAAAATAAGTCCATACAAAAGTACAGGTAGTGTATAGTCCCATAATAAAGGTTCCTACACATTGAGAATGCAGTCCGTGCGTATTGAATTTCTGCGTTTCTATTTGGTACTTAGCAAAAAATATCAAAAGATGTTCGTAGAATTTTTTTGTAGTTTCGGACTGATTTAATTTTTACATCTGTTTGCACAAGAATAGCGAGTACTTACAAAAGGTCTTTGAGCATTTTGATTATCAATTTTTTTAAAGTATACCTATAGAAATAACTGTAGACATTTACAAAGGTTCTACACGTTAATAAAGTGCCTACATTCTACTTTGCACCTAATCATAACAGCAATTTTAATACTTGTATTAATAAGGTGATAAATATAGACAAGAAAATAGTGTAGCCTATAAAAACTGGTATGTAATTATGCAAATACGATAATAGATATTTTCTAAACCGAAAACATCTATTTGTAATAATTTTGTAATATTATACAAGTCTAAAAGACAATATCTGAATCGCTGAATTTTGTTTTCAGCTCATGAAACAGTATCCTGAAAATTTTTGATTGACTGATTGAACAAATTGTTTTGTCCAATCGTAATGTACTGGGTTGGGCAAATCAAATCTGTTTTTATGTATATTAAATAAATTCATATATAAATACTAACCTGCTTTAAGTGAAAATGTTACTATAAATTTATTTATTTGCGTATATGGCTAAAATAAAGAATTTCTATTCTATTAATGAAGCTCATTGTCATACAAGAACCATGCCATGGGACACACACGCCAAATATATCAAGATATAAGTGAGTGTGTTAGCCATAATAGTACATTACGTGAATAACGATGCTATTCCTGTTTGAACCAAGGTACCTTTGTGAGTTTTAATAAAAATACTCTGTGTTTAGTAAATTGATACAACTTTACAGTTTTACAAAATAAGTATTTTATAAGTTGCATAACACTTTTGAAGTCAAACCAAAACCGTTGCCATAAAACAAAATTGTAACAACAAAGTTTAACCTAACAGTTGAAAGGAATCGTTCTACATATTCCTACGCACAATATACCACCTTGTCACAATAAAGAAACCGAGCTTGCAGTGAGAATTATTCGTTATCCACGCAGTCGGTAGTTCGACAAGGTTGCAAGTTGGAGCAGCTGCGTTTTTTTGCCCTGCTTTTACGGGTTCTCGTCTGGAAATGCAAGGGACTGCTATCTATGTATAACTATCGTTGTATAGGTAAGTATAACACAGTGGTGCAGCGCTATAGGAAAGGATTTCGAGCGAATCAAGAATTTCTTGTTCGCTTTCGTTGTCTTCTTGAGACTGCTATTTTGAGTTGGCGTGATAACTTTTGTTAAATAAGTTTTATGTGTCTCAATAGGTATATTGTAAATAGTAATATAGAATAAAAACAATTAGGTAGGGTAGGTAGATAAGACGAATGCGGAATTAAAACAACGTTTTAATAAGGAACAAAGGTAAACGGTATATACGTTACGTCTCCCGTCCTCTAATTTCAAGATATCGAAGTTTTTTTTGAATAATTACAATTACGTTGAATTTCTTTAACAACAAAACTAAAAGTATACAAGATATAAAAAAAATCGCTTATAGGGGGTCTTGTTTCCCTGTTAATAACTCAATTTCGATAAAATGTCGATTACGTTAGTTATGATAAGGAAGTGAACAAAAGACTATGATAACTAGGTAATTGTAGGAATAAATTTAAGAAAAAATAATGTATTGCCCTCTTCTATATTTACAAGGTGTTTGTATGATTATCTAATAATAAAAAATATAATGCGTACTTAGTTTAATGTGTTATGCATAGTTGAAACATGTCTAAATAATATTAGTGTATAAATAATAATAATAGGCACTTATAATGCGTATTATGTTCGGTACGAAAGTTTTTGCAGTAACAAAGTGATTATTACCAATAAAATAAATTACATAGGTGATTTAGATTTGCATGCAAGGGTTTTTTGTTATATATAATAGTTTATCGTAATAACATGGAATGTTTTACTTATCTAGAAGGGTGTGTGATATGATATTTGTTAAATAGCAAAAAAATAAATACTGAAACTTACCTTTAATTAAGGGTCATTTTCGAGTTAGTATTCCCTGTCTAATGTCTGTGACAATTTTTATTATTTTAGTATACAGTATATACTGTATACTAAAATAATATAATCATATTTCACAATTATATAATTGTGAAATATGATACTAAAATAATAAAAACTATCACCGAATTAGACAGTGAATATTAACCAGGGTATTAACGTGTATACATTGAAATACAGAATATTTACATTGGTTTTTAAATATTAAACAACTAATTCACAAAAAATGTGAAGTTTTTGGTATTGATAGTTATTGGTAAACAATCGGCGATTAGGCCGCGACATTTTACCGACAAATGAGTAAAACAAAACCTAAATATAGGTAGATACTTGAGGTTAGTGACACATTTATAAATAACATTTGGGAAGTCACGTTTCCGACTGTACCTACTTTGTTATGAGTTTTTGTTTGGCCAAGAAAAACAATACTTATAAAAATGTGACTAGGTGGGTGTTAATGGTTTAAATTTTAGTCAATGGAAACTATGAGAAAAGGGATATTAAGGGATGTAACTAAATTTTTATTTTTTTTTACTGATGCTACCTGCCCAGCAATTTGCAAAATCATCTCCCAAGATATCATAGACAATCGATTTTCTCGAGAGCGTGCACATTTTAAATAATGAGTCGGGGAGTTTGAGATAAGCCATGTTCGCCACTCTTTGTCGGTAACTTTTTCAACTTACCCACAAAAACTATACAACCCTCAAGCTACGTTACCTTTTTTTTGCTCAAAACTGAACTATCTTTAATTAAATTGGTATTTTTTTCCAAACCAGGGTGGATCTTGGGAACTTTTATGGTCAACACAAAGTAAGAAAATAGTTTAAGGTAAATGATAACCATTGAGTTTATCATAATCCAGGGAACGATAGTAAAACAACTCAAGTCTATCAATACAGCCACATAAAATAACAAATATTTTTAGTCCTGAGCTTTTAATTACTTGGGTAACTTAGTAATTACTTACCCGTTATTTTCGCGTTAGTAATTATTGTGTTCAATGTTTTGTGCATTCTAGGTGTAGTAATTTGTGCAGTTGTACACAACACTGCAAAATATATATACAAATAATATCAAAGTAAGCGTCTACGGCGAGCGCTACGAACGGCAAACAGTACATTTATACGAGGGTAAACATACAAAACATGCCGCAGTTAACAGTTTTTTTCGATGCAGACGAAAATTCCAGCAATTCCGCGGCCTCCGCGGCGACAGGGTGGCCGTGATCGAACATAACCTAAAACAGTAGGCCGCACGTGCGCTTCCCTTACATAAGGGTGGTGCTGGGCGAGGCTGTCTAACCTCAATATCACAGCTGAGCGGCGCCGTCAAACATCACACCACATCACCGACCCTTCGCCTCACAGACCACCCAAAACGCACACACAGTACGACAGTAATACACTACAGAAAACAAAATTTCCTACCTTGTCTTCCGACGATCTCGGCTACGTGTTCTGATGATGGCACTGGGACGCACTCGGTCATGTTCTGGGACTTCTTGGCCCTGTCGTCAGGCGGCGGCGCGAAGCCGAGCGGACTAGCCAGCGGGTTGGTAGCCGGCAGATTTTCCCCGAGGCTCAGCATGCTCAGCTCCAACGCGAGCTGGAACGCGCGCTGGTCCTCCACCAGGCCGGCGCTGCCGCCGCCTAGGTCGCCGAACAGGCTCGACGGCATTTCCACTTGCGAAGCAATTTTGGCGGTTTTCTGGAGAGGTTGCCCTCTCGTCTCACTGATGTAAAAAGCGTTCGATCGTTTCAAACCCCGCGCTTAATCATGAACAGGCGTGCGTGTAACGCGCGGCGCGGCGGTGAACTGAGTCGCCGGCCGGCGAGCGCACGCGCTTTGCCGCCGGCGGGGGGTGCGGCGGGACGGAGAGGGGTCGGCCGGGAGGGGTGACTGCATCGAGGGCGGGATGCGTCGCAGCTTCCGCCCGCCCTGCCGCCGCGCCGCTGCCTACAGCTACAGCGGCACTTCCCGAGCCGCACACTTCGCCACCTCGTATATTACGTTAACGTGAGGCTAGACAGGTAATTACAATATGTTGTGGTTGTATTCTTCAAAGAGATTTTTCGTTACCAATTAAAAGTCTAAACTTAACTAAGTAGTTACGCATAGCCAAGTTTAGAGATACTTTTAGTTAGCAAACTGGGTAAACTACGGTATACTTATATAGGAGTATATTATTGTTATTATTATTATTATTATTATTATTATTATTATTAGTAGTAGATTCGAAGACTTTTTTAGGCTTGTGTTTTCTGCACAAGCTCATTAATGGACTGGTCCAATGGATATACATGAAGAAATTGCTCTAAGTGTCTCATATAAATAACCTAGAAACAAAATGTTTTTTTATGCAGTCCTGGCCTTCAATCCCCTTTGACACTACCCTAGAATTTTCAACAGTAAAATCCAGGACTTGACGTGTACAACGACACGAGAAATATTTTTCTAAAAAAAATTAAAAGTTCCATAATATATATATCTGATGTAATATAGTATGTTGAATGGTTAAATGCTGTAATACCTATGATGTGGTAGTACTTAACAAATAAATAAATAAGTATTTAAGTACTAAGTACAATCAGTTTAAAAATTCACGAGCTGTTTTCTTTCATCGGCATGTCGTAAAAGACGGATTGGGGTACGTATAATGAAAGGTCAAAGGAAAAGCTTAGGAAAGGACAGAATGGCTCATAATTACATCGACAATGGCTTAAGTGTTACATCTAAGAAAGTTAATTAAAGTTTACATAGGAAAGGAGATCAATACGAGTCACTGTTTGGATAGCCATCTGCAGCAAATCCATGACGTCAAAGTTGCCGTGACGTTACGGCTTGACCGGATGTGAGGTCACAAAGTCGTTGACCCATGGGTCAAACTAAAAAGTGATGTTTTCTGCGAATCCACACCCAATTTGTTTGTTCTTATTCTTATCGATACATTTATGTGTATTGTGTAATGATTTTATATAGGGTGACCTGTGTAAATAGTTGATAGCTTTAGGTGAAAAAGTCATAATTAATGAATTTGTGAAAATGATAGCCGATACACGTTAGAACACTTTGAAAGATAACGAAAATAGATTTCTTAGACACCAAAACCTGGTTATGGACTCAACACCACGAACGGAACAATTACCAAGACAGTAGTAAGTCAATGTGTGTCAAAGTTTATAATAATTTGCCAGATTCACTAAAATCACAACCATTAAATAGGTTTAAGTGCTTATTAAAACATTGATTGAAAGGAAAGACATATTATAGTGTAAATTTAATTTTGAATAATTAAATTATATTGCTGTTTTAATAGTTATAATTAATTAATTTTTCATTATTTGACTGATAATTTAAGACAATTTTTCAAGTGACACAGTATTGTGTAAAAAACATTTATTTGAAATGATTATATGTATGTATAACGTAAAGTATAATTAATTAGAGACACAACTTTATAATTTAGCATGCTTATATTAGTCATTACACAGCAAGCTGCATTTACTTTTATTTTATATATTGCATGTCAGAAATGGCTAAATGTGTGATACATTATTTCTGTAAGCATTACCATCTAGTATTGTACCTACTTACCACATTTAAAGCAAAAAAATTAATTTGTGTAGTAAGTTGAATTGTCTTTCGTAAATTAAATTGTATAATAAATTCAATTACAACCAAGTATTAGTGATACTACTATATTTATAAATTACATTAGTTAAGACAACAAAAGGGAAAAAATGTTGGTTAGACAGCCAAGGCAGAAGTGGACAAACTAATTCGACGAGTTCTATAAGGAATAGGAGAGATGTGCCAATAACAGGGAAAAATGGAGGAGGACTTGCGTGCTATTATAAAACACCGTTTATAATTCAACTTCAATTCCCTGTGTTATAATACATTTAGGTATAAATCTACTGCGACCGGAAGTGAGTTCACTGAGTCGGCGTCTTTCGAATGAGTTCGGAGAATTCGCGTCTCGTCATAATTTATAAATAAACCAACTTATGACCTTTGCCGGCAAATTTTAATTTACAAACAAGCCACACAATATAAGATCGTCTCTATTAATGAATAATATAGTTTTGGTGTTGGTCTTAGTATTGCGCATTCAGTTTTGGTCTTGGTCTCGGTCTTGCAATTGTTACTTACCAAACATCATATCATATGCTGCTTATCATCATATGTTGTTATGTTAACTCTTACAAAAGTGGCAATGAGGGTTGGTTCAGATTTTAGAATTCAACACAGCATTCTGAGTACATATGAGTATGGTATGGTAAAGGCTAACCAAGTGACGAAAAATTTTTCGTCATTTCCTCACTTTACAATATTTTTACGATCATATTGGTTGGTTATAATTGTATTCGAATTGTATTATTAATAATTTTAATTTTTGTATTCAAATTGTATTTTTAATTTTAATTCTTTTATTCAAATTGTGTTATTAATATCGAGTTCTTAGGTTTTCGCGATTGTTACGCATAGAAAATGAAACTATTTTTCCGGATTTAAATCGCGTATATTTATTTTTTTCAAACAAACCGACGT